TCTACATAATTGACATTATACAATCAGAATAAAATCTTCTGGAAGTAAGGTTACACAGAGCATTATAACATATGGCAGAGTGCCTGTTCTTCCACAGTAATAATAGTACAGAAAAGAGAGTGGTTCTGTTCAAATTCTGTTTACCTCCCACCTTAAATTTTGCAATGGTCTCTTTTCTCTTAGAACAGTGTTCTGAATATCTTTCTAATGCTTTGGACATGAATTCAGAATAGATAAATGTAATAAGTTGCTTTACCATTGCGGTGGTTTGAAACTCCCAAGAATCTAATTTTTAAGTTCAAGTCCCCCCCTCCAACAGTTCACCCTTGTGAGGGGGTTTAGTGATGGTATGGACTTGCTATCTTTTTCACCTCATGTGGAGAGTTTTCAGACAAAACACAACCATTCGTTATTGGGGAAAGGGGAAAATATTTACAAAGGTTTATTTACACCCACATATATATTTACATTAAATTAAATTTCCCCTTTTCTTCAATGAAAGTCCAAGAAGAAAAGAGAAAAGTCTTTCTGTCACTCCTCAGGCCACAGTTCCTTCATTTCAGTTTTTTGTGGCACTTGTTACTGTCCTCCATTTTTCCCAAGGGCAGCAGATTTAAATATAGCAGTCAGGATTTTTGTTCTTACTTTGTGGAAATTTCAACCCTGAGCCCCAGCCTTCGGGGAATTTCCTTGTAGATCTTCACTCCTCTTGGGTTAGAACATTGAAGACAGCTTTCAGTTCAGTCTTACCAAAGCTCCTTTGCTCTGTCTCAGCTCAGTAGCATGATAGAAGCAGCAGCAACAGCAGAGGGCATGGCCACCTCCTCCGCATTCCGTCCTGGCTCGGCTCTCAGGACAACTCTGGGTTTTTCAGCTCCTTTCTCTCTCTCTCTAGCTGCTGCTGCATTTCGGGACTCCCTAAGGGTTTGGAAGTCCACCCCTCCTCTTTTAGGAGTCTCTGGGGTTTGGGAAAGTAATACAGTCTTACCCCAAACCAGCTCTGTTGAGTTTTCCTGTTTTGTTGCCCGCTCTCCCTCCTGCAGGAACATCTCTGCGTCTTTCAGCCGGCTTCACATTATCTACTGGCTATCTTTTGGCTTTTAGCCATCGCTGTCTCTGTTCAGGACTGCTCCGCTGCTGCTTTCAGTGTCTTCTGCTGCTGCTGACAGTAAGGAAACTTTTCCAGCTCTTGATTATGGGACCCGGTCCAGCTTTGACACTATACCGGGTCTCCCGTGACCTCAGAGGGGCTCACTGGCCCCCTGCCTCCTTGTGGCTCAGATCATGGCTACCCACCTTCTACAACCATCCAATCCTTTAGTAAATGTATGACACCTGAGTTTCTTGCTTCTGTTGGTTTCTTTCTACAGGATAACAGGGTGCTTAAACCCCAACACAGGGCTACTGTTTGTAACTGTGTGGGAGACTGATACAGCAATGAGTTCTGAAACAATGTTGGGTAGATCTGATTAAGAAAGTGTCCGTGCTGTCTGGGTGGTGGAAATGGGTCGATCTGGCTGTGCTGCTCAGTGAATTTCCTCAGCCCCTTCCCATTGCTGGTGTCACTCATTTCACCCATGGGAGGAATCTGCAGGAGATTCATGGAAGGACTACAGACTGCAAGGGAGCACTACTTTTACCTGCTTGTTCCCATTAAAATGTTCAGGTAAAATGTTTTTGATCTCTTCTACATATATCTGTGCCAAAATCCATGCAGAGAAAATTTGACCAGCTTGTGCTCTCTGAAAGGGTCCACAGTGGGAGCACCTCTGCCTGACTGCTGACCAAGCAGCTCTCCTAGGTCATGTACTTGTCTTCAGGGTCTGTGATGTTACGCTCTTTACTTCTGTCTTTGCATGACCTGAAGTCCCAAAGCCTTTTCAGTTTTCTTTTATGAAGAAGAAAGAAAGAAGAGGAACCAGCACCTAATCCTTTTCCTTGTGATAAAGTCTCTGGAGGAAGAACTCGTGCACTAGATTTCCAAAAGATTGGCAACAACTTTTTTGCTGAAATCTAATGGCATTTCACAATCCCAACTGAGAACTGTCCATAGGAGAATAGACATAATTATGATGCTCATTCATATGATCAAGGAATGTCATATGCTATGTCTACTCATCACAAACAAATTAGCTTTAATTTTCTAGTCTGGATGACTGCACAGGTTACTCAATATTATCTTTGGTTTGCTAATCCTCAAAGAATCTATTTCTTTTTTGATGTTATTGCCATGGAAACTGGCTAAATTGCAGATCCAGATTACATCTTTACTGTTCACTCACTTTCATTTTGGTCTGCAGACTTCCTTTACGTACTAGGAAGATGCAAAGAACAAATCAATATTGTTCTTTGAAACACAGAGTCACTCCTTATGCTCTCCAGTCTTCACTATGTGGGTGTAGCCACTTGTGTTCTCTCTCTTAGGGCAAGAGACTGGAAACCTGAAGGTCTGCTACCTGCAGCCTCATTTTCTGCAATAACATTGCTCAGCCAAGCTTGAGAGGACAACTCAGCAGACTGCTTTCTTATCTATTTCTCAAGACTTTGCAAGTATGCACACAGTGATGCAGAGAGAACAGTTACCATTTGGAGCACAAATATAGGAAGTGTTTTGCAGATGCACTAAAACTGTTGAAAACAGGTATAATCAGGAGTCAAGGAGAATTGTAATTAAAAGTGTCAAGAGTGGTGAAGGCTCTATGTCAGAATCCAGATAATGAAGCACTTAAGGGAAGAACATGTCTCTACTATATGTCTGCATGGAACAAATGATGGCACAAACCATAGGTGTTACTGTTCTCATGCTTTTGGGATTTGAGTGCTGTCTTGAGTGTGGGAGATCTCTAAATTTATTTTGTTTAGGCATTCATCTAGGTACCAGGTAAACGGGCCCTCTCTTGTGACCTGGATGGATTCTTAGAGGTGAAATGTAGAGACTACACCTCTTTAGAGACCTGTTACAAGCTCTTGTTTTAATCAAATGATAATGGAGTTCCTTCTGATGAAATGGCCTTTTTTCCTTGGGAAATTTTGTATGTTTGAAAGTGAATGTTGGAGGGAAGAAATTGAAATGAGTTACATATATTTTCTTTTAAGTGTTTGGAAAACCTGGATATGCATGTATAAGTAGCCCCTAGGCAGCAATAAGATTAGAAACTGGCACTTACATATCAAGTAAGTGATTGGTATGCTACCAACCTTGGTGATGTTACAAGTGTAATCTTCACACAGATAGCATTTTTTAGAGGATCTATAATTCATTAGTCACTAATGCCTTTGCCTTGCATCAGGCAGTCAGGTCTTATGTCCACTTTCCACTGTACTTGCACTGCAGTCAAGTTACAAGGAAAAAATCTGTTCTTTACTGTTGTATTTCTTTGTCTCTGAACCTTTTGTAATACAGTTTCATTTTGGAGAAGTCTTTCTCTATCAATGGGAAGTCTTTTATCCCAACATCACTATGAATCATAAGAAGTTGAGGGAAATAAGTGCCCTTATGCTGCATGAGAAAGCAGCTTTGTATTACAGTTTTTCCTTCTGTTTCTATGCAAAGGATGTTGAGATTGCTTCTCTTTTACTCTGACATGACAGAGTGCAACATATACCCTTGTCTGCCTCTCCAGAGAGTGAGTTAACATTGGTAGTAGAATGGGTGAGTTTACTAAGAATAGGAGGTAGAATAATTATGTGGCTTTAAGAGATCTATTTCTAACCTATTTCAATAACTTCTTAGTTTATATGAGTGCTTCATTGGCAGAGGTTGCTGTTGTTGCAGAAAGGCTTGCATAAATGGAGCATGGCTGGTTATATGGCTGGTTTTGGCTGAACCTGGTAATATTATGTTCTTTGTATCCTCAAAATTTGCATTCAGAAGAAATGAGAGGAGCTTTTAATTTTGTCAGCTGTCATTATCCAGTGTGTTTGCATGATTCGCCTGCTTTAGTGAAGGAGGACTTTGCTAATGAGAGCAGTGCATAATCTAGTGTTCATACTACAGGAAAAGGTGCTCAGGAGCCAAACGTGTGTTCCTGATTCTGTCATGGATTCTGGCAGTTTTCTTGCATATAAAATGTGGCTTCCTGAGGGTGAAAAAACTAAATAAAATTAGGAGCCAGGGAATGAGCAGGCACTTTGAAAATGTTGGCCTTGATATGTCAATTTTTGCATTTCTAAATTGGAGGATTACAAGTATTTTATAGGATTCTGGAAAGGCTCTGTGAGTGTTTGCAAAGTGTTTTAGAGCTGGTAGTAGGGCAAGTTGCACTGCAATGCAGGGAGCAACGTCTTCAGATCACACCTCTTGAGCATTCGTACAATTGGTGACAGCCTCATATGACAGCAATCCATTAAGAGACTGTCGTAGATCTGATTTTCCCAGATGTATCATTCCCATCTCCCCCAGGAATTTTATCTGGAGGAAAAGAAGAAGAATTTGTTTGTTTGTCCCAGGTGCCCCCAGAGTATGTCAGAGCTGCTGTTCAATGTTCCATTTGTTGTCATATGCATTATGTGACATTCATGCCCAGAGCACTGGTGCACGAGGTGGCTGACTGTCCATGTCAGGGGGTTGTGAAGGGATAGACTCTTCAGTGGAGTTCATGGCAAGTGCTCAGTCTACCTTATCAAAAAAACATAAATAAATTGTGCCTGCAGATTTTACAGGTTTTTGTGATTGCATCAGCCATAGTTAAAGAATTAGAAATCTTTCAGGAAAAGGAAAAAAACCCGACTCCATGTTTAATTAATCAATATCTGACAGGAAATCCAGCTTCTTCCCTTTTTTTACCAATAATATTTAATTTTAATAAGTTGCCTGCCCTGTCACAGTTTGACATACAAACCTTGTTTGACATATGGTGGCTGTTGCTTGCACTTGGAAGTTGAATGTACTACATAGACCATGTAACTAATGAGATGGGGTTTTGTTCATCCTTTCAGTTAATTTTATGTGTTCTTTTTTTTCCCTCCCCTTCGTGCTGCACGGCTGATTACCACCCTAGGACCTTGCAATGGGACACAGACCCCTCAGTGCTGCAACTCCAGTCTGACTCTGAACTTGGGTATATGTCAGCTCTTTTTGTTATAAGTTATTTCTTTGCAAGAATTATGTTGAAAATGCTTCCTAGTTGAGCTGATTGTGTGTGTGATTTTTATTTGCTTTTTGACTCAAAAAGACCATAGTTTAAGTTTTCTTTTTTTAGTTTCATAAATAAGAAGCCTCAGCAAAGCCATTGTTGTAGAAAAAAACCCCAACTATTTAAATAATCTCATGAAAAGATAAGTTGCTGTTTCTGTTGCCTGAAACACAATACGAATAACTATTTCATTATAGATGAAATGTTATTATTGTGGCACATATATGCATGCACAGTTACATTGATCTTGTTTGTACCTGTTGATTCAGACTGTTCTCTCTGAATCATTTGCAAGGTACTTTGCCCCCTCCTTTCTGTCTGCTATAATTATGCTGTTTCCACATGCAGTAACAATTTCCTGGTTTTCATTAGGCATTGTGTATGTGCTTATAATTGTGCACTTATATATGATCATAACACAAGAGTAATTGTCATCTTAGTTGAGTTCAGGCCAATCAAGATTTTTTTAAATTGTACTAGAGCTAAAATAAATATTTTCTAGTTTGGGATGGAACTTCTTTACCCCAAGCATGTGAAAAAAAATCGTTAATTTAAATAATTTAGAAATGCTTTCCTGCAGAGATATTTAGGATAAACTGTTCCTCTAAAAGCATAGGTAGCAGTACTTCAAGTTCTTCAGAGCTTGAGTCATAGGCAAAACCAAATCACTGTCTCGAAAAATTTGCTCTACCTATGAACTTACAGGCTTTCCTGTCTGAGTGTCCAGGCAAGTGTCTTGTGCTTTTACTAGTTTGTATGCTAGTTCATTCACCATTCTATAAGAAAACCAACAAGTTCCTTTAACTGCTGATTGACAGTGCTCCCAGCTGCAGTTAGGGATGTTACGGCTATTCACCAGGAAAGATCAGAAGGAGAATATCCAGAAAGGATATTCCAAACAGGTTCTCCATATCCAGAAGTGCTAGGAATGTTTACAGTCTTCACATGATTATGGCTTCGAATAGGTCCAGCTTCTAAAACTTTACCTGAACTGTACCAAAAAGGTAAAGTTTTTTGAGCTGTTTTAACATACAGAAACCCTTTAGGAATGTCAGCTGGTTTTTTTCCAGAAGTTTGGGTTAAATGATGAGCACACCTAGGAGCAAGGTTCCTCAAAGAGTTGTGCAAGGCAAGTCCCTTTATTTGACTCATGAAAAGATAACCCTGTATATAGCTATGAGACTTCAATCATTTATGAGCAGTGAGTGCAAAGGCAAGAAAGAAGTATGCCAAAGAGCAAATCCATAGGTACACACTTTAATGGAGGTTCTGCCCCTTTGAAAGAAAAATGTCTTCAAAACCAAAGCAGAGTTAAACTTTCCTCTAGTGTTATCTAGTATCCTCTAGATAAAAAAACCTCCAAAATCCAATGCAAAAGAAATTCTGCAGTCAGCAAATACATGATATGTGCAGCAAAACACTTCTAGCAGATACATCTTTCTTCTGGTACCTATAGACAGAGGAACCAATTTTATTGGGTGGACTTTAGTTACTGTCCTTCTACTCACAACCCATTGGCAGTTTTGAAAGGAATCCTTCAAAGCTTAAGTGCTCTTGAAGATGAATATTCAGGTAATATATAAGAATTATGAGCAGCTTCGATGAAAAATGGGGATAAGAAAACAATAGACAGTTCAGTGTTGCCCTAAAAAGAACTAGAGACTAGAACGTTACAGTTCATATTTGATAGAGTCCAGATACTGAAAGGATGCACCAATTGTCTCCAAGTGCTTGGCTAGGCCAACTCTTAGTTACACAAGAACAATTACGGGTTGCTTTACAGGGGCAAAAAATAATCAGGAGATCATGTTACTTCAGATGAAGAAGGACTTCCCTATCTTCACCAGTAATTACTACACTATGGGTGGCACAAGGCATTTGTACAGGCAGCAGCAATGTCTGAACTGTAAATGTTTTAGGTGAAAAATTCCACACGCCGTCTCAGGACAGCGCTCTGGGATTTAGCTCCCTTCTTGGATAGCAGGGTACAAAGAGATTAAACCAACCAGCTGTTTAATCCAGTTAGCTGTTCCCCCTCCTCATGTGAGGAGATACAGAATGACCTCATGTGAAACTGTTGTTAGAGTTACGTGAGGTTCTAATTAGGTCTAGATTAGACACATAATTATTTAGGGATTACACTTAACCAAGACCACTGTCAAGAGACTTTCAATGCAGGAGGCTTAAGATTCTCGGTAAATGGAAAGAGTAGCCTGGGGCAGCAGGGGACTGGTTACATAGGAAAGTCTAACTGACCAAGTTAGATTGCACATCTGGTGTTAAAGAAGGGAAAAACACATCAGATACTGCTCATATTTATTAAAGCTTGAATTCACACAGACCCTCAGTTAAAGCAGCTACAAAAATGTAAAACTACTAAAACTTCTGTTACCTTAAGAAGCTTTTCTGCCCCCAGTAACAAGGTAGAAGTTTTTCTGTAAAATTTTCTGACAATTGTTCACATTGGCGAAGTCACAGATGGTTGTAAGGAGGGAGACTTGTTAATTTTTCATCTTTGTAAAGAGTTCAGAGCCATAACAACTGTTTCTGCTCTAGTGGTTTGTTACACGATACAGCTGATTGGTACTGATGAATCTAATTGCATTCAGCTTAATAACAACTCAGCCAGTAAGATAGAACAGAAAAATATGTAGCTGATGCAGCGTTAACCACCTGAAAAGTTCAGTAGGTGTTATCCAATGATGACAGTTTCTTTTTGAGACTTCCATTTCGTTTCAGGTATCAATCTTAATTGAATACTGACACCATTGTAAATTAATAAGGCTAAAAATCCCTTTGACTTCTGTTCTTCTGACAGTCTGGAAAATGAAGAGGATATGGCTAATGTGCATGAATTTTCTGCTTTTCAAAGTTGTTCTCTCTAATAACATGACAGTTGAGAAACATTGTGTCCATGAATTTATTTCCCATAAATGCACAAACGTGCTCACACTTGCAGATTTAGGCAACTGGACTTACTCAATTGATTTGTTTATTATGCTTGCATTCTTTTCTCTGCCGAAAATTGACATATTTTCCAAACACTTGCAAGTAATCATTTGTATATTCTTCACTTCCTGCAAACAGAAAAATAATATTCAGGAAATAAACTTATTTTCCCCCCACACACGCACTGTTGAATGAACTGTGTACGACAAAGTATTCATGACCATGTTCAGCTGTCTCTCTTCTCTTTCCCTTACCCACTTACAGTTGGCTTCACTGATTTATTTCATATGATTTATTTAGAGTAAGGGAAGTAGTCAAAAAAGAAGGCTATTCTTGCCCTGTTCCAGTTGTGTTTTAGCTCTCCTTCAGCCCTTGAATTAGGACTTTATTAATCATAAACCTACATCAATTCCACTACTAATGACTCCTGTGGAATGGAGAATAACCTTTATAGAAATCACCCAACTTGCCAATTAAAAGCTCTATTATTGTTCTCAGCTGAACATCTGACAGTCCTAATCTGGTGTGGTTTACACCTACTGTGCCCTTTCCATTATTGTGTTTCCCAGGCTGAGGATGAACTCTTTTGAGCAGGCAGAACGTTGTAGTAATGATGGCATGAAAGAGAATTTTGTTGCATGCTAAGAAGGGTGCAAGCAGGTCATTTCTCACTCCCATTTACAGTCCCTCTCAACAGCATGATCTAGAGGTTCAGTAACTGTACTTTATTATGGCAAATGGTTCTCAGGTTAATTTTGTTCACTGCAATTAGGTACTTCTCATGCATACTGTATTGTGTTTCATCTTAACAAACACCAAAGTATTTTTTTATTCTGTTCATAAAAGCAAACACTTTTGTTCCTGCTGCTGATTTACATTTAATGTGACTAACCTTTTGATGTCATGTATTCCACCCTAGACGCAGACTGCACAAACTAGGGGTGTCAAAGATTACCCAGGTTGATTTCTTACCTCGGGAGGTGGTATCATACTCCAAGGAGACACAGACACCTCTTGCCACACATCAATCTGAAGGTAAGATATTTTTTTCTCAAAAAACATTTTCATAGGAAGTTAGTATTTGAGTGAGAGTTAAAGAATGCAACAAAACTAATAGTAAATCATAATATAGCTGTTTATCATGTATTTTCTGCAAGCCAGGTATTGTTTATGAGATTAATGGCTGTTCTGGTGAAAATAATTATAGTAATGACTTTAAATGCAGGTAGAACCAAACTGCTTCTGACTTACAATAGGTTGTGCTTAGATAGCAGTTTAATGGGAACATATTTTCAAATAAATAATTATGAATATAATTAAAATAGTGCTTTATTCAGGTTTTTTTGCTTTCTCAAGGAAGTTATTCATTCCATGCTTTGCAAAGAGGCAGTCTTGGAAAGTTGCCCTCAGTTGTTTGGTCAGTGTCCCCCTGCCATAGGTGAGCTTAGGAGAAGCTGTAGCTTATCTCCATGTACTGAAAAATGAGGTTTGCATACTTTGATATGGATGGTCTTACTTTCCCCCTGGTGACATCATACTGAAATATGTCCTCCTGGAGGTGTTTGTTAGCTGTTTGGCTTTCCTGTTGATAAATAAATACATGGAGTAGGTAGGGAAGTGATGATCTATCTGTTCCACAGATTACACACTTGCCAGTTTTGTACTGCAAAATGCTGATTGCAGGTCAGTGTGGTATCATTTAAACTGAATTCAAAACTGTGCCTTAGCCTGTGATCTACACACTATTACAAAGCAGGTAGAAGAAAAAAAACTGATGACAGTCTTGACTGTAATTTTTGCTGTTAACAATGAAGGACCAAAAAAGTTCAACAACTGGGTGCTTTTTGCAGCAGATAGTGTAAAACTTCACCAGGTTCCGTGCAGAGAAGAAAAATACTCAAGTAGGTTCAGAAGGTGGTGCTGGTGGTAAATCTCTTTAAATATAAGTTACTGTCAGGAAAGATAGAGTGATAAACATAGACAGCTTTTTTTTTTCTGCAATTGGGTTACCAAGTCTGCCTTAGGAACCAGAAATGGAAACTGCTGAGCCAGATTCTGAGATTCTCCTTTCCTGGACCACAAGTTTACCCTGGTTATCTGTGGACTTAAATAGTCCTTCAAACATAGACAACCCTGTTGCTTGGATGATACTCACTGAGCATCATGTCCAGAGAGCTTTTCCTGCTCATAAGGAGAGGCTGTCTCAGAATCAATCCAGCCTCAATCCAGCTCATCTCTCCTTGTCTCTCTGCTGGCTGCTGAAGCTTTGAGAAGATGGGGATTGCCCCTGAGTCCTTGGTGCTCAACCCTGGATCATTATCATGGAGTTGTCTTTAGGTCAGATAGAAAGGGTGCCTTTCCTCACTGACACAGGGCCTTTATCTAGTGGAAGAACCTATGGATGTGGGGAATTTAAGACTTGGCTTTGATGTGTTTGCCTCCCTCAAAGTTCCAACTCCAGCACTCACTAGCTGACCTGCCTTTCTGAACAGACCGACCTCTCTTGAGGAAGCATCTTCTTCCAGTAAGATTTTCTTGCTTTTTTTTGTCAAGGAGCTCTTCAACTATTACAAAATCCTTTTCTTGGCTAGACAAGAGGACAATCTCCTACCCTTCAAGGGAAAAAAACCCCAAACAGCAGTGTGATGCAGTGGAGCCTGGCAGTCGGGACAGTAAGCAGAGAGGGCAGTGTCATTTGTCTTGGTCCTACCAGCACAAAGGAAGCTCACTTATTCCTCATATGTATGAAAGACAAGTGCAAACATAAGAAGTCATGGACTTTAAACTGCCTAGGCCAAAACTCTGATGGAAGAGATCAAATGGGATATGCGGTTTTGGCGACTGGATTGGTTATCTTTTATATGTTCGGTGTCATTACAGCCAAGGAAAAGCACCAACAATAGTGAGGTTTTTTACATACTTACAGGGAAAATATCACCCAATCACTTCACTGAGATGCATGATGGAGAGAAAGTCTAACATATTTCCTTTCAAATCTGCTGCTAGGGAATTTTCGGCACATAGCTTGGATGCGAGTATGGCTGTGCATCAGTGAAAGAGAATCAGGAAAGTTTGGTTCCATTGAAAGAGTATTTAGTTGGAAACTGTCTAGGGGGTAAATAAGCACTGTGATTTTGGTCTTCCGGGTCTGATGGAAATGAATTCTCATGTTTTCAATTTCCCAAGCCTCTTTATAAATGTTGAGCCCTTCATACTGTTACTCTAAACGTAAACAGCAAACAGAGGGGAATTCCTCAGGAAAGCAGTTTTGAGAAGTCTCTACACTGTTTCTATGCATTCATGTGATAAAATATAGCCATTATCTTTACAAGATAAATTACTAGGCCATTACTATGGTTATGGGCTCAGTTATTCAGCATCTGAAGCCTTAGAGTTTGAGAATAGAAAATAAGAAACTTCTTATTTACTTAGATGAGTCTGACTTCAACTTTCAGAATTCACTCTTTCTCTACCTGCCTTGAATACTGGAAATGTCAAAATGCAGAATTTTAGGATGAGAATGTCGTGTGCTTGCTTCTTGTTTGGAAAACAACTAATGAAGGGTACAGCTGGTTGGAAAGATGGGTGAAAGAGGATTTTGAGAGTCCATTCAAAGTTCTTTAGCTTTTTTGAAATGTCAGTATCAGGTTTTCTGCATATTGCTTCTCCAGAGAAAAAGAAAGAAACTCTGAGATACTTTAAATCTACGGCTGTTCTGGAGCTCAGTGGATGTAGGCCTTTGCAGTAATGGCTATTGCCCACCAAACCTTATAAAACTGGTAAAGGAAAGGTTCACTCTGGTAAGTGCATGTGGTGCCAGAAAGCCAGATGCTATATGCAGTGAAGTCTCAGCTTATCAGCTACTAATTTTAGAAGAAATAATGTGGCATTATTCTTCACTGTATAAAAACAGATTAATTCCCCTTTTCAGAACAGGTAATTTGCTTTATTTCAGAGGAATAATGACATGTCACTTCTCCCAATGACTCTATTATTTAGGGAGATGTGTATATGCATCATTCAACCCTTTGATCACAAGCACCTATTTCTTTCGCTTTATTTAGGTCACAGTAAGCTTCAGCCTTTTCTTTTCTTCCTTGCAGGATGACTTCAAAAACATACAGATCTTGGCTCTGAAGCCTGAGAAAAAAGGTGCTCTTTACTTTTCCCCTCCTTCTTCTATAATTGAACTTGAATTTAGGTATTTGTAGGCATTGAGAGACATTTCACTTGTGTTGCTTTTTCCATTCTGGAGTTGATTAAGACCTAGACTATGACAAATGTTTCCTGAGAGGTCTCTGGGACTTGTTCCTTCATTATGCAGAGACTCTCACATCACCCCGGAGTGGCAGCCCCATGTAGCCTTCGATGGTTGGACCCTCCAAAGCACTGCAGACCTGCTGTTTGCTGAAGGCATCCCTGGAAGAAAGCAGCAACAGAAAAGCCATGGCCTAGCCTCTGCCCAGGATGAATCCCTCACTGCCATACAGCAGTGGAAGGAGGTCTGTATGTCTGCCTGCAAATCAGCTTTTCAGATAGGAAAGCAGTCTGCACATTCAAGCTCTCCTAGATGCCTGCCTCAACTCCATCTTACTGTTCTGCTCTTTAATGGGCCAAGAGGTAAAATCTCAGTGAGGAAAACATCATGCTGTCCCTGCACGGACAAGGGAGGTAATCCTCTGATCTGGCTCCCCTCAGAAACTGGAAGGCAGCAAGGTGGTGAAGGTCTGTGAGCTCTCTGGCTTTGCTGGCCAGTGTCAGGAGTGTTATTATTTCTCTTTTGTGAGGTAGAAGCTCCTTCATCAATAAAATGAGATGTTCTCACATTCTGGCTTGCCAGACTGTCCCTGGAAATAGGCTAATCAGAAATGCATTTCTGAAAAAGCAGGTCCTGTGTATAAGAGAAGAAGATCTGACTTTCTAGAACAATGGATGTCCTAGGTACTTCATCTGTTTATCATCTTCAACAGATGTTTTTTCATGTGGGGAAAACAAATGATATGCCATACTCTCCTCCTGAGCAGGATAACTTCATTGTGTATCACAAACGTAGCCCAGTTCTGGGAAGGAGTAGAACTGAGACCTGTGATCCATCTGTTTATCTGCCATATTCAAACACTGAGGATATTTTTAAAGAGGAAAAATTAGCTTTCTCCTCCATCTGGAAGTAGACTGGAACGAAGTGGCAAAATGGAGGTGGAGCTGCAGAGGCTGGGTTGGGTTCTGCATGTCTCTGACAGGGTAATTCTCTGAATTAAGGTTCCTGAAAGTTATCCTTTTTAATGCACTGAGGGAGGAGTGGGGAATTCTGCTCACAGTCAGGCTCATGAGACCAAGACATAAGCTTGGGTGCATGAGACCAAATCTAAGTGCCTGCTGTAGGGTGAACCCAAACTCTCTAGATGCCACTGATCACATTGACTAGTTCTTCACTGACCAGCTTGATAACAGAGCACTTCATGTGGGCATATTAATGTAGACTTCTCATTATTGAGTAAAATGCGCATGACTTAAAGAGTCATGCATTGACATCGTGTGAGGGCTGTGTCCTACTTCGAATTTTAGTAATTGAATGATCTGTGACTAGGACTGTCAAGTGCTAGTGCTGTGCAAGCAAGTCAGGCCTCTGTAATTTTATCATTTCCATTATAAAATCCATAGATAAAGCTATTTATACTTTCACTGTTAGGGTCTGAGACTTCCAGGTTCAGTCAGTGTGGGGATCTGTGCAGCAGAGTTCTAGCACATCAAATTCTGCACCAATCCTTTTGTGTCTTCCTGTGGGTGACTGTAACTCAGCTTTGTGAATGTATGCTGTACTTAAGAAAACTCAGTCCCAGAACTAGTCATACTTGAGTTTTCCCGTGCCCAGTCTGGCTAGAGCTCATGGCTCAGAAGCTGGGGTTTAAGCTAAAGAGCTTACTTTGGCTTTTTCCTTCCTGAGAATCTTAAGCTCAGCTCCAGTCTGAAGAGGACAAGTCTGGACCCAAGAATAGCTTTGAACCTCTTATTTAGTGGGAAATACAGATGCACAT